TGAGCGCGGAAGTGCCCTGCTGTGTAACGCCTCTGTGTGTTGGGAACGCTGGGAAGTGCAGTTGTTTAGGAGTGGGCTTCGCTGGCATGTTCATGTTTGTTGAACTTCTTTCGCACCATACGTAGCCAACCGCGCTAATAGGAGGTGCGGGGGGAAGGACAACAAACTAAACACAACAATAAGCAGTGTGGTTAGGCCTTATTCCAAACTTTGACTGCCAAAAAGGGTGTTAGTTATATACTCTAACTGGTTCGATTGTTACTCAATTTTATCTTAGGGGCCGTCCATAAATAACGTCACGCGATTTTGGACGATTTTGACCTCCCCTCTTCCCCCTTCGTCACACGACGTCACAAAAAGTCAAACCCCCCTTCAAATATGACGTCACAAAGCTCTGCCCCCCCTCCCCCAAAATATAACATGCTTCAAATCGCTTTAAACTGTTGTAATTGTAGTGCGTATTTAATGTGGCGCTGCACTCTGATGTTGTAGGAGAAAACATTTATTAAAAATAATATTTAATTAAGTAGAACGTGTTGTCTGTATTTATTTAAAGTTGCGCATTTTGATGTGACGTCACATTTCTCAAACTTCTCCCCCCCCCCTCGTCACACATCGTCAAAAATGTCTGACCCCCCCTAGGTGCGTGACGTCATTTATGGACGGTCCCTTAATTCCATGATTGATACCATGACTTTTGGAATAATAATTAAATTTAGTAAAACATCAAACGTCTTATTCACAGCCTAGCTTTTTAGGTGAATTGAACATTTATGTATATTTAACTTTTCACACCGTACGTAGCCATCCGTGCTAATCGGAGATGCAGGGGAAGAACAAAACACAAGCAATGTCTGAGGAACGCATTGTAAACATACAAAAACAGCTGAAAATGGCTTCAGCTTCTCAACGATACTAAAAAAAGCCAGGCTCAGCAAGGCAAGATGTACCGTTAAAATGGCTAAGAATGGACAGCACCCATTGGACGGCCGGTACTCTTCTCGGGACCAGGAAAAGGCCTCCTGTAACCGGTTGCAATATTTCACGTAACAGTTACATGTCTTAATTTTGGAGCTTTCGTGACTGCAGGAATTGCTCTTTGGTTCTTTCGGTAAAGTCACGTATAAATATAAAATAATATTATTTAATTTTCGATTTAAAGCTTTCGTGACTGCAGGGATTCATCTTCTTGTTTCTTTCGGTAAAGTCACGTAGAAGGGAAGTAATAAAATAATAAAAATAAAACATAATAAAACAATTCTCACGACGTTTCGGCTACAACGCAAGCAGCCGTCTTCAGGTGAAGAATGAGACACTACCAAACTAGGAGCTTATATATAAGCTGCATTGGGGGTTGAAGAGCGCCTTAACAAAAAGAATGTGCATGTGAAGAGGGATTTAGCATATTCATGGAAAATGCGTAGGCGTTGGGCGGGGGGGTGTCAAAGTCATATTATGCCCATGCATTATGCAGGATCAGCAGCAACCAAGGGGGGTGCAGGGATTAGCAGTAACAAAGGAAAGGAATGTTAATGATATGTAGCTGCAGTTACTCAACAACCACGTAGAAAACTAAAGTATAAACTACATAAAAAACTAAAGTATAAACTGCATCGCACCATCAGTATACTTACTATACTCTATAATAAGCTGAGTTACTAACAGCAAGTAATACATTACAATTTTACCTCGTAATATAGAATTTTTACGAGGTAAAATTGTAATGTATTACTTGCTGTTAGTAACTCAGCTTATTATAGAGTATAGTAAGTATACTGATGGTGCGATGCAGTTTATACTTTAGTTTTTTATGTAGTTTATACTTTAGTTTTCTACGTGGTTGTTGAGTAACTGCAGCTACATATCATTAACATTCCTTTCCTTTGTTACTGCTAATCCCTGCACCCCCCTTGGTTGCTGCTGATCCTGCATAATGCATGGGCATAATATGACTTTGACACCCCCCCGCCCAACGCCTACGCATTTTCCATGAATATGCTAAATCCCTCTTCACATGCACATTCTTTTTGTTAAGGCGCTCTTCAACCCCCAATGCAGCTTATATATAAGCTCCTAGTTTGGTAGTGTCTCATTCTTCACCTGAAGACGGCTGCTTGCGTTGTAGCCGAAACGTCGTGAGAATTGTTTTATTATGTTTTATTTTTATTATTTTATTACTTCCCTTCTACGTGACTTTACCGAAAGAAACAAGAAGATGAATATTATTTAATTTATTATTTTATCTTTATACGTGACTTTACCGAAAGAACCAAAGAACAGTTACATTGTTTTTAAGGACACGTGCGTCTGCTGCCACCTAGTGGCAACATCTGTAAAAGCGTAAGAACCAGTCATGCCTCGTTTGTTTTTGCCCAAAGTAAAACTCGGCGAGTTGCCAGTATCAAGATATTAAATGAGAGAAACTGCCCAAGTTTATGTTTCAAAAGTGGTTGGCTGCAGGGTGGTGTATAGTTGAAAAATTCACAGCCGTAAAACTTTTAAATGACCAATGGGAGCAGACAGCCTATCCTTTTGTATTGACGTGGCTTCTTGTTGCAAATAAATAAGTAATATAAAAAACACACTTTTTTAAAACACGCTTTTATTAAATGTACTGGTAATGGAAGAACTCCACGACTCCTGGAAGTGGCCCAGAAGCTTGCCATAACGTAAGCGACCGTGGGCAATTGCAGCCAACGTCAGTTTACCGTGGACAATTAGACCCAAGCCAAAACATAACATATAAAAAATAATGTTTAAAAATATATATTTTTAATGATAGAATATAGTATTGTCATCAGTATGAGATACGTATACCAAGTGTTTGCAGTCGATACCACATTGGGAAGTGGGTTAAAATTGAGTTACAAGATTTGAGGATACAACAACAACGACAACAACAACAGATAGAGTGAGTTAAATGTAAGCGTGTAAAAAGGGGACCAGTTTAGGAAATCGTCTTGCCCAATTTAATATGCGATCAGGATCGTTGGAACCATCCATAATTATTGTGAAGTGTCTTTTATATAATGGTACAAAGCTCTAGAAACAGATGTTTAAAAAGGGTAGAGTACCAACACTTTACCCTATCATACGCATGTCAAGCCAGATGTTTACACAATTTATACTGCTGGGTAGGCAGTAGTGGGGGAGACGAGGGGGGTTTAAGAAAAAATCCTACCTTTTCAATCGCCATGCAGGGAGATGGAATCGAATCAGTAACCTCTGGATTTAAGTCCAGTGTGCTAACTATTGCACCGGTAAGCAGTGGACATTAGTCTTTGAGTAGATACTAAACAAATGCAAACGCTCTTGGAGTACAATTGGGAAATTGTCAATAACAACCATCATCATACAAACGAACAACATACCCTTAAGCATGGTTCAAGCTTATGTTTATTTCTCATGTGGCCATTTTTACAATTCATTGCAAATTCCTGCTAGTATCATTTATGTTCCGAACAGCAACTAAATATTATTTCGTATATTTTTTATTCTGCAGCTTTTTCAAGTTATTGATAATTAAAATTTCATGCAGAAAAAAGAAACCTTCCCTGGTACACTCATCCTTGTGTGTCGTGTGTGCGTGTGCGATGCAATGCCTGATCAAACATATGAAATTATTCACTAGTCTCTTTTTTTAAAATTTCTTTTTCCCATTTTCCTTTTTAATCTGCATTATCATCTTCAGACTCGTCTTCTTCAGCCGTCTCCAGCCAAGTCAAGTCAGCCACTGGTTGACCTGCACGCACGCGTGCATGGGATGTTACGCCGACTGAAAAACACAATCTTTCACCACAAGGCAAAGAAATCCGTTGAATATCTGAGGGAAGCAGATACCACAGGTACCTTAAAGTGACCTCTAGTTCACACCAAATGTTTTTTGTTGCTGCATTTTTCAAGCCACTTCAACACTTGAGTAGTGTCACATCACAGGACAAACAATGTTTCATTCAAATTTAACACAGATTTATTTTGTGTTGTCATTCATGACCAGGCTGAGACCATCAACTTGTTACACTTGAGAACCCGGGGTGAATCACATGTAAGACTTTGCTGTTTTTTCCTGGATTTTTCTGTTGTGCATAGTCACTTTAAGATGTTCTTAGTTCATGTTTTTGTTTGTTGTGGTTGCACCCGAGTCAAGAGCCGCATGGCTCACAGGGCTATACCTAATAAATTAAACTGAAAGTGTAATAGAGGTTTTTGGGTTAGATCGCGTAAATATATAAAAGTGTCGTTAAACCCGCCACCACCCGACACAGCCAATTAGTAAGGGGTTTGTCACGTAAACAGAACGTGGCCAAATCGTTACTCGTACAGCACTAACCGGTGTGTTCGAGAACCAAGCCACAACATTTACCATCTAAGTACGACATTTCGCCAGTAATTACCACCAGCTTCATCAGGCGACAGCCAGATTTGTGATGAAATGCTCCTGTTTCGTATCCATTGCCGTTTGAATTATTTATATGGACAGCACCCTCTATCCCATTCCTTGCAATGCCTTTATCCCACATGGTGGCTGATGATGATGATTATATAGAATGACTGCATGAACCAAGCAGGTGTGTGCTCCATTGACGTTGCAGGGGCGGATACGTACCGAGTTAATCGAGCTTCCCGCCAGATGATGCTGGTTGTAATTACTGGCGAAACGTCGTACTCAGATTGGAATTGTTGTGGATTTGCTCTCCAACACACAACCGGTTGGTGCTGTACTAGTGACGAATTGGCCACGTTCTGTTTACGTGACAAACCTAATTGGCTGTGTCGGGTGGTGGTGAGTTTAACGACATATTTACATTTACACGATCTAACCCAAAACCAAACCTATGTTATGGATGATATTGGTCGCGAAAGGCTACGTGTCAAACTGACTTAGCTCAATCGACTGATTATTCTGCCTGCGATTGGCTGCAGAGGTGCTGCAGGCGGGGTCAAGGTATGCGGTGTGTTTATAACACCACCGCTGGTGGTGACAGCGTTCTATTCAGACACAGGCTGGGAGCGCTGCACGGTGAGTAGTCCCCTCGTCTCTCTAAGCAGTTCAGTCGATTTTAAATGGCCCTGTGAGAAATTCAGCTCTTAAATCGGTGGTTCATCAACAACAAAAAAAACACAACGACGCCGCTGCAATGAGTCACGGTAAAATAAATCAATAACAGATAAGCGAAAATATACAACAGATAGCAAATTATTATCAGAAGATATTTTTAAAGAACTTTTAAAGTTAAATATTGATTATTATCACATAGCACGCATGTATCTCAAAATAAAATACTAATTTTAATCTGGGCGACGTCTCGTTGATGAATTAGCCAGAGGTTAGATTTAGATGGTATTCATTTCAGCAGGAAGGGGCGCAATGAGTTGCTCGGCTCTGTTACTTCACGGGGGCACCGCGACGGGACAGATGTACCTTGGGTTTGTAGATGCGTCCATTCGCGTGCGAGTGATGTAACGAAGCCAACAGAAGTCATTTGCGCACTTCTCACGCTTAGGACTCTCCGCTCAGGACTTCTATCGCTTGCCAATTCAAAGCGCCGCGCACATTAAAGTCACACGAAACGCCGAAGCCGGCTTACAGACGAAGATAAATAAGCAGATATAATAATGTGTTTCATGCGTGGCTCTGTGGGAGAGATTCTCCTGGTGAAATGGGGCACGGTTGTGTTGGTCGCGTGGTGTTGGTGATGATCAGTAGGCGACTCTCTCTGCGTGTTTGTGTGTTAAGGAAAACAAATCAAGATTCAACTCGGCAGGCACGCGTCAGGTACGTGGACGGGGTACGTGGACGGGATCATTCGCCGTGGTTCGAAAACTTCAAAAGATTCGGTTGCATTTGTTCACTGCCAGTTAGATGAACACGCGTAGCGATATGTCACGGACTAGACGTTTCCCAACTGTGCGCTGTAATCAATATTTGGAATTTATACTCTTTGGCTCTTTCGGTATACCTACGTGACTTTACCTACTTTACTTTACCGAAAGAACCAAAGAGTATGGATTCCTGCAGTCACGAAAGCTTCAAATCTAGATTTGATATTTAGTTTGCAGGTGTATCCTTACATATGTTTATTCGGTTTATGAATATTCGTTAACACGTTCGTCATAAGTTAACTTTGCTTCGGATAACGTCTCGTTTGCTTCATTATTAAGTTTTTCTTACTCTACGTTATCTTATTTCCGTGGAAACAAAAGCACAATAACAACAGTAAATGCAAGTTCTGTCGTGTTGTCCGTGCGGGCATTTTACATGGTTCCAGGATACGCGCCTGGCTGCAGCGTTGCGTAGCCTCACCACCTCACCTACTGCACATTCCTCACCCTCCCACTCACCCCTCCACCCCTCACCACCTCACCAAATGCCCAACCCTCCCACTCATCCTCCCACTCACCCCTTCACCCTCACCACCTCACCTTCTGCCCATCCCTCACCCTCCCACTCACCCCTCCACCCCTCACCACTTCACCTACTGCCACTCCCTCACCCTCCCACTCACCCCTCCACCCTCACCACCTCACCTACTGCCCATCCCTCACCCTCCCAGTCATCCGTTTATGCCTCACCACCTCACCTCCTACCGCTTCCTCACCATAGTTCTAGTGAGTAAACTACAATATACAATGTTTGTGTTTAATCACCTGTCTCGTTATCATCCTCCTTAAGTGTGCGTGACTTTATCTGCGTTGTGTTGGAAGTGTTACTTTCGTAGCTTTTGGGTTCGAATATATTTTATTAGGATCACATCTCAGGTCATGTAATTGGACTTTATGGGAAAACACGTTCCGACGTTCATGATTTTTTCACTTTACTTTTTAAAGAAGTGTACGCCTGAAAGATTCGTAACACGCGTTGATTGATGCCCTGCTCATTCTGGTGGCGACTGCCACCAGTTTTATCCCTCACGTTGTTGCGATTAGCCAAGCAGAGGCAAGTGTTCCGCTATGGCAGATCGAGTACCCACAGAGAAGGTCATCATCAAGGGCAAGACGGTTGAAGTGGTTTCGGCGGGGATGGAAAACAACCCCAATGTTGCTCTGGAAATATGCAACCAATCAAAATACAATCTTAAAAGATTGAGGTGAGTGCAGCTCCTGTTAAATATGCATTGTCCCTCTCCTCACTCCTTTGCAGTGTCAAACATACGCGTGCACTCCCACGCATCCTCTGTTTATACTTATGTAATGACGACCGACACACGTTCTTCAATAAGTAAGAGCCTTTATTGTGGACACGAACACTGTCTTCTAGTACAAACTGAGTCTTTTCTCCAAGCTTCCCCTCCCCTTGTGCTTCACCTTTTTAAACCCCTAGAGCCCCCTTTGTCGGAAGATCCTGACTTAGTTTAACGCGTAGACTTTCGCGACCAATATCATCCATAATAGAGGTTTTTGGGTTAGATTGCGTAAATATATAAATGTATTGTATAAACCTGCCACCATCCGACACAGCCACTTAGTAAGGGGTTTGTCACGTAAACAGAACGTGGCAATTCGTCACTAGTACATTACTAACACCGGTTGTGTGTTGGAGAGCCAAGCCACAACATTTACGATCTGAGTGCGACGTTTCGCCAGTAATTACAACTAGCTTCATCAGGCCACAGCCAGATTTGTGGAGAAGTCTTACTGTTTCGTTCCTTATATAGAGGCGTAGATGTGGTGACCACCCTTCTGTGCTCTTGCACAATGTGGGGGGGGGGGGTATGGATTACTGAGGCAACGTACATTATGCATGTGCATTTTGCGAGCCCTTTGAACTTGTTCTTGTTGTCTATTGTGTTTATTAAAATAGCCCTACCAACGGTAATCCCTATTGAAGTACGCTCGCTGCCTTTTGTAGGCATGCATTTAAACAATGTATTATCTGATTATTCGCTTCCAGGCAGCACTAAGGCAGTAGCTATCCGAACGATTAAAGTTATTTTGATTTCTTTCAATTTCGATATATTCTCTAATTAGTCTTGGCCAGTAGTAGCTAGTTTTGCACAAAACTTCAACATTATCAAATCTGAGTGTTAAACAGGAAGCACGACGATTGCCGTGACACACTTTTTTTATTGTGCCCAGCATTGGTTTATACAGATCAACCACCTCCAATTAGCACGGTTGGATAGGTACGGTGCGAAAGTAGTTAAACATACATAATACTGCCCAATTTTAATGTACTTTCAGATATCCCTAATATATTATGTTTTATGTCAGCTTTGTGCTTTTTTGATAAATGTGGGTATTTTAACAATACTGATTATAATATATATTCCAGGACATATCTGGTCTCCGGAATGGCTGAATATCCACCACACCAAGATATACAATCTGGAGAAAAGAGCGCTTGTGGCTTTTGCAAGCGTCTGTTTGGCATGTTCGGGTGTTATGGATTGCTGTGCTATTCCATTCAGAACGAAAATAAAGAACTGAACATTATGTTCTGCAATCCATATGTTCCCGCATTTTATTACAGAAAAATGGCCATACAGCTATACAACACCGACAGAGACACAATACCGGACACATTACTGACTGAGATGTACAATTGTAAGGAAACATCGGAGTCTTTTCAAAAAGTGAATGCTGGAGCTCCCATTGCCACACTTAAAGACGATGCATTACAACTCAAAGTGACGGCCACAATGATGAATGCCAAATGTTCCATCATCCGTATACATCTGACGAATATGTAAACAGTTGTTATCTCGTGGCTAAAACAGAAAATAAGAGAATAGACAAAGAAGACAGATCAGGACCCCCTTGCATTTGGCCGTTGTATGTGGGGCCATTATTTAAGCGCCAATAAATGCACTTTGTTACAAAATAAAAAATATTATGTAATCGTTGTCGTCACCATCATCACCACCACTTACGCCACCGTCACTTTCATCAATCTTTGTATGTACGCTTCACCTGGGAAAATTATTCTTTGGCGGCTGCTTTAAATTTCCACGTGATGATAAGCCAGAGTTGAGCTATCGTTTGTGATAGCCAGGTCGCTTCTGGAAATAAAATGCTCAGCTCAGTGGGACATGCATTCGTAAATCGAATGGTTCGTAAGTTCGAACACAAAAATGGACTTTATTTAAATGCCCATACTGTCAACATTATGAAATGTGTTACGGTTCAACAAAAAAGGGAAGCATTGTTAAATTCATTAATAAAAAATATGCATTTGTATGTAACACTGTCAATAAAACATAAAATAAAGCTACATACATTGAAAAAGAAACCTGTTTTATTTTCACTTACCTTCAGTCCTTGTCGGAATGGGCGCAATGAGTAACCACAATACACGGGGCACACGAACAGCAACAACAACAACCGCCATTTGCCACTAAGTGGCGGTGACGTCACCACGGCGCTTGTGCCGGGCTATGTGCACTTTAAGGCCACGTGAAGTGTCGAACGCCCGCTGGCAGGAGGTCACGGGGCAGACCGATGGGTTGTCTGACTGAGATGACTGGCCGATGCACCACCTGTGCCCCCTACTGTGCAAACTTGCTACATTTTAGCCACCCGGCGCTCCGCTCGTTGTTGTGAGCGTCGCTCCTCTGCCCTCTGTTGTTGCTGGAGGGCGTCTCCCTCCAACTGCCTAGTAGCGTCCTTCAAGAGCCTCCTCCACAAAGGCCGATCTTGACATTGGCAAGTCTACTCAGCTCCATATCCTCTCGTACCACATCACTCCATCACTTCTCTAGCTCGTGCAACGTCCGTTAAGCCCCCTCTATCCAGCTGAACAAAATCTGTTTGGGCATGCGGTAGCTGGGCATGTGAACTACCTGACCCAGCTAACGCAAACTTGCCTGCCAGAGGAGGTCACCGATGGGACTTTGTCCAGATATTTCCAGGATATGTGAGCTCTTCACACAATCCAGCATGGTTAACCGCAGGATAGATCGTAGGCAGTCCAGCCTGAATGTTTCTAACTGGCGAAGATGTTCCATTAGGGGGGTCCACGTTTTGCAAGCATAGAGAAGGAAGGGCACGACCGTGGCCGAGAAGATCCAAAGCTTCGCCTGGAGCAACAAACTAGGGTAGCTTCCACACAGCATTATGCAGCCAATGAAAAAACAATGCAGCTCACCTGATTTGGAGCGAGACCTCTGCCAAAACGGAGTAGGTCATACACACACTGCCCAGGTATGGAAAACGCTCCACTCTCTCCACAACTGCCCCATCACCAATGGGGAATTCAGAGGGTGGAATGTTTGATGACACAAAATACCCAGACAGCTGCTTAGTTATGGTGGGGCTGATGGTAAGGCCCCACCTCTTAGTGACACACTCTAGGTTCAGCAGCAGTGCCTCCAACCCTCCTCTGAGTGAGCAGTAATTACCAGATCATCAGCATACGTAACATGGTTGACCAATAGGGAGCCATCATTTTGTAAATAAGCTTCTTGGAGACATTCATTTTCAGGGGAGTTGAGCATTATTTCTCCGAACGTATATAAAGAGGCCGAGCGTAAGAACTGCCACACTCGTAATGGTTACGGCTATCTTCAGCCCTGCAGGTTGTCTACCAAGTTGAGTCTTGAACAGTCAGCCCCGATGGTTTTCCATGTTGTCAATCTCGAACGGTTGGCCCCCAACGTCGTCCACCTCCGGTCGTCGATCAGTCCCCGAGAAAGAACCCCGACCGCTGGGATCACTCCCCCTTATATACTCGCTTGACCCCGCCCCTATCGGACAGTGGGCCCCCACTTAATTATAACGCGTGTGCATATGATGCATTCCGGCCACCTGTTTTCAACCATCTCAACTCGCCCTTCAAGAACCTTCTATTGTACAGTCCCCTACATCTCGACCGCACCCGGGCATTGATCAGCCTCCCATTGTATCGTAAAGATAGAGATTTCTCCGGTATAGCTATAGAAGGCTTCACGAACTACGTGGTCGAAAAATATGTTTAATAATGTGGGAACCAGATGGCATCTCTGTCGCACCCCAAGGTGAATTGGGAATGGCTCCGACTCGGGGCCACGAAGCTTTACCCGGGCTTGCCCACCATCATGAAAACCCTTAATGATTGTGAACAGAGAGTCATGGACTCTGAAAACACGAACAACAACCCAGATCCCAGGCGTATTGATGATTTTATAGGCCTTGACCAAGTCAATAAAGCAGAGACGTAGGTCCTGTTGGAATTTCCGATACCTCTGCTGTAGCAGACGGACGGAAAATATGGCATGTGTGCAGGAACGCCCTGGCCTGAAACCATATTGGGGCTCTGCAATCCCCTCCTCAGCGTGCCTGGCAAGGCGATGTTGAATAATCCTTGCCAGGACCTTTCCTGGCACACTGAGAAGGGAGATGCCCCTGTAGTTGTTACAGTCTATACAGTCCCCATTTCTAAAGAGGGGGGCCACCAGAGTATCCTTCCAAACCTGCAGAACCCGTCCAGGGGTCCAGACTCTTAAAATGATGTAATATTGGGCAGTCTGTACACAAACGCTACCCTTCCTCAGCATTTCGCTTGGGAGATCATCTCTGCCCGGTGCTTTTCCCAGTCTCAGACTCTGGATAGCCTTCCATACATCCTCAACAGATGGCACTTCAGCCAGCCACTCACAGAGGGTGATAACTTCTTCCAATATGGAGGCACCACAGTCTCTGCAGGGTCATTCCCACTTTGCCCCATGATGTTTTCCAGCTGAGGGAATTTCCCTCCCCCAAGACCTCACACAAATGCTCAGCAAATCTGCAAACCTATTCCTGGAGGTCGGATTACCTTTATTTCCCCTAAGGATGATGATCGGTGTGGCGCTGCAAGTTACGTTTGATGGAATTAAAAAGTGATTTGTGATCGTGGGCTATTTAGGAAGACTCCATCTCCTTAGCAACCCGCGACCACCACCCATCCTTGCAGCGCTGCATGGCTCTCCAAACTTTTGAGCAAAGGCTGTGGGGTAATCCTTCCTCATTCTCCAACATGGAGTGCTGTAGACAGTGGCAGTTGACCTGTCGCTTTTATTCAGCCATCCAGAACACCTCCACAGTCAGCCAGGGTCTCTGGGGAGATTTGGACCGTGTACCCAAATCAGCCATTGCAGCTATACAGTCCTAAACCTCGCCCATTTCCTCTCGGCATCAGGAGACCAGGCCACTGTGGGTTTAAATTAAGTCCTAGATGGACCCCCACCACCAGGGTGGAAGAATGGCAGCCACATCTCACAAGATGACAAGCCGATGGTCTATGGAAAGATCAGCTCTATGGTAGGTCCTGGTGTCAAGCACATTGGCCCACATCCACTGTTCTGTCACTATATAGTCCCGCAGATGTTTTTGCTTGGACCCGGCGTGTGGATGCGCCGATGCCGGAACAGCGTGTTGGTAATTACCAGCCCATGCAGCCTCCTACCGTTATTGAGCTGATCGCACACACACTTGTGTGCGTGCACACACACACTCACTTTCACACACACATACACTTACTCCCAGCTTTAGGCCGTCTCACTACATCTCGCGCAGAATTGCTCCGCTGAACAAAATAGTTCCGGCTGTTCAGTTTGCAATTGCGAGTTCGCATTTTAAATTGATGTAATATATATATATTTCACGGAAGCTGGTTCGTACATGCGTGTGTTCGTAAGTCGAGGACTGACTTACTTTCTGAACCGCCCCTACTGGACACCTGTGAATAAGCGCTTTATAGTTAATTTGATTACTCCAGTATAAATAAACATTCTGATTCTGATATGATTTGTTTGCAATAAAAATCTACCATAATACAGGTGTAGTGAGTTCAATTGAGGCACACACTCAACTTGGAGGCAACACTATTTATTAACACATAACAACCAACGTAAATATTATATACAGGATGAGGCCTCCCTTGCCAGTAGCAAAATATAATAATAGGTTTTTTACCCTTTTTTCTAAAAACAAAACTGACACCTTTTTACAAGGAATCATGTTTGCATTAACCACAATACCTTGCGGTCAGAATGCAAACAAAAAAAACTCTGATAACACTGGTCAACACACTTTTTCTGGCATAAGGTATTCCAACGGTTTTAAGGTAATTTTGGGGTGCTGATTCCAAATCTGGCATCAGTTTTTGTGAATCACATCAGGTTTTTGAGATATCAAATATTGCATTTTCAATAAAAACTGCAAAAGAAAAATATTAAATAAATGTGGATATCTACATAAAATGATATTATAAACACACTATCCTAAAAATACAGCACCATATTTTAACACTAAAGCAGTCACTGACTCGCAACAACTTGCAATCATAAGTGACAGAGTTAATTTCGGGTAAAATCAATGAAAATTGGGTATGCCGATAGCATAAAATGAGATGTGATTGAGCAAATCTGAGATCAGATTTGGAATCAGCACCCTGAAATTTGTCTAAAACAGCTGCATAAGTCCAGGCCAGAAAAAAATGTTTTTTTGACCAGTGTAATGTATGCATTGTCCTTGAAATTGATTGGTCCACACCAGAGACAGCTTTTCTTAGAGCCCAGTCTCACATGGTGTTGGACCAGATGACGTCAAAAGGCGCACAACTCAAAGACAATGCACGATCAGAGTATGATGGCTCGGGGTAAGCATTTACATAATGAGGCCTCCTTTGCCAGTAGCAACATATAATAATAGGTTTTTTACCCTTTTTTCTGGCAACAAAACTGACACCTTTTTACAAGGAATCATGTTTGCATTCTGACCGCAGGTATTGTGGTTAATGCAAACATGATTCCTTGTAAAAATGTGTCAGTTTTGTTGCCAGAAAAAAGGGTAAAAAACCTATTATTACATACAGTACAGGGTGGTGACCACCGTTCCTAATCTCACTAACACTCGGGGAATACTACACTGCGTGACCAAGGCAGGAGACGAGCTGTCTGGTCACGAACGACGATCGGAGACTCAAGGACTGCTGATGTCGTCTTCATCCCGGGGAAGAACAGCCCAGCTCTCTGTTCACACTCTGCTTATAACTCCCGTGGCGTGGCCGTCTCTGCCCCAGGCCACGCCCCCCTTCTCGAGCCTTCGGGAAGGTACAGGCCCCCAACCACGTGACCCCCAAGCTCCCCCCTGGGGCCCCTAGCCCCCCTTTGTCCGATCACGTGTCCTGTTGGGTTCACGCAGAGTGTCAAAGGCCTGACACGACCTCCGTGACACCTGCCTACAGCACCCATACCGAGCCAA